CCCCCCCAAAAAAAAAAACAAGCTTCCCCTATTTGCCAAATTCGCTGGCCATTTGTTGGGTTTCGTGTAGCAAAAATATTCAATAAGACTAAAAAGTGTGGCAAATCTCTCTGGTGTAAATCCAAAAGATGTCTGCTACAAGCTTTTAATGATTTTCTTTACTTTGAAATGAGGAAAACTCCCTTTTTGAATGTTGCCTGTTATCCTCCCATCATCCTAAGGGGGATAGCAGTTAGTTCTTTTCATTGTTGGTCAGTCCTCAATCCATACAAAATTGTTAGTAATGCTTTGACGTCATTTTTCTATTGCTAACAATTTGGGTCGTGTGTGTCTGACATTACGCTCTGACTGTTTGAAGTTTGCATAGTCTCCCTGACCCTACAACAAGTCATTCATTTATTGCTCCCTCCTAAAGTACTAGTGAGGATGTCGGCCTTTGCCCAGCTCCTTATTGCTGATCATGTTGCTGTCTGTTGATGCCCTGTGTTGTGTATGTCTGACTCATTGCTGGTAATTGTGGTAACAGGCTCTAAGAAGAAGGTACGCTGGTTTCCCGTTAGGCGACTCTTCACTCAGTCCTGTCCCAGCATCAGGATCCCTAGCAGGTTTTTAAGAGAAGGTGGGTGATGATTACCAGCCATGCACACAGTTCAACTATGTCTTTGTCTGGTGTTTAATACCATTCTGTCCTTCTAGCTTCTGTTTTGTGTTCTGTTTCCAGCTTCTCTGTGTTTATGCTGCTGTTGGTTGACTCTATACACTTTTATTCTTCAAGTAGTTTCCAGACAGTATTAAGTAAGGTTCCAGTCACTGTGGGGGGAATTTATCAAAACTGGAGCAGATTTGCACTGCAATCATTCAGCTTCTCTGTCTCATTTTCAAATCTTACCTGAGCAAACTGAAGAGAGAAGCTGATTTGTTGCCATGGGCAACTGCTCCAGTTTGTATAAATTCCCCCCAATGTGTGTGCTTTTTTTAATTTGTATGTTTGTTTGTTTTTTAATCTTGATGTAATTCCACCGCAGTACCAATATGGTTAAGATAGTTTGTTGGCAGGCACTATTCTCCTGTATTATGTATTGTATTAATAAGCTTCATATAAAGGAGAAAAACCCTACAGTCTGCTTTACAAGCACCACTCTTGAAAACTCCAATGAAACATATGAGAATAATTTCACTTTTTTAGCTTTCTAAGAGACTTTGAGTCATGTACAGTAGATAAAATGAAGACCTGCGTGGGATCATTTTACAAATAGCACAGACAATAAGAAGTATGAAGGATGTTGTGTATTAAACACACCCAACGTTTTACTGATGGACTTAGTGGGTCTGTCTATTCGAAGTAAAACTGTGCAGGCCTGGTGTCTTGTTGCATTATTCCTTCTCTGCTCCTTGTGTTTGGCTTTTCTTCCTTCCTAGAGGTTTCAAAATACTCTATATAACACAAGACCCATATCTGGTTTTGGTACTCTTGCTTTGTGTTTTTTAGCTTTCCATTTTATATAGTACTGGAAATCTAGTATTTATGACATGTGCCCTAATGAATTTCTATACAGTCCTTCCCTTGCTGCAGTAGCACAATTTTAGAATGATGGGGTGATTACATTTAATTAGATTGGATCATATTATGGGTAAATTAATAAATCATTCAACTGGAGGTTGCTGAACAAGTTTTCAATGAAGTAGGAGCATACATATTATTTTTTTCTGCTGGACTGACTATTGTTAAAGCCTAATTTCAGCTAATATGTGGTTTGTTTATTTTTTGTGTAGAACAGGAAAGAGTTATAGCCTCTACAGGGTTTTGTTTCTGCTTTGTGAGTATTGAACCGGAGGTGAGGGTAAATCTGGCCTAGAGAGACACAAGTAAAACCTCGTTTTTTAAAAGTATGAGGAAGCACCGGAACGTCTAACAGTGTTTTATACTTGCTTATGCTTTCCTGTCCTGGTAACATCCACTCCTTCCATTTCTTGTATGGTGTCAAAGGGACAGGAAGTGATTGAAAATCTCAGTAGGGTCACAGCCACAAATAAAAACCTTTCAGAGGTTTTAACACTATCCCACTGTATCCAAACTGGATATGTTGGGACACTATCTGCATGGCGCTTGCATGTTCTCCCTGTGCTTGTGTGGGTTTTCTGCAGCTATTTTATTTTTCTTCCCACACTCTAAAGACATGCTGGAAGGTTAATTGGCTCCTGTCTTAATCAGCCCTCGTATGCATGTGAGATAGACTTAAGGTGCCCATACACCTTACAATTATCTGCAAACGCTGCTCCCGTCGCTTAAGCCACGCCCACCGCACAGGGCGCTGATGCCGTGCACGCCGCTGCTCTTCTTACTGTGAGCTCCCTCACTGGCCGCTGGCCCGCCAACAATCGATCTGAAAGTAAGTCCGGACCCATTAAACTGTACCCCCCCCCCACCCCC